GAAAGGGAGAGCTTTGCTTGATTATGCATTAATTGGCAGGCTGGATGTTGTGGTGGTGCAGATTCAGTTTAGCTACTGTAGCACCATGGCATTCAGCTTGCCAATATTGCCTCACTCACACTGCATGCAAACATCATGGTATGTATGTACAGACATGAAGCTTCACTAATATTATTAAAATATCTTTTAATAGTTTTAAATTTATTGAACTAATTATATATTTTTGGATTGTTGTGCAGGAGTGAACAGAATTTATAGCTAAATATATTGTTCCCTTTTTATTTAATAAATATTTATCTATATATTACTTAAAGTATTATTTTTCTCTTTTAATTTCTAAGAAATAAATAAAGGATAACTTTTTTTTTTTTTTTAACAAATATTTTTCCACTTAAAATACCATTCATTGTATTTTATCCAAATTTACATTAATATTTTTAGTGTTCTTAATTTTAAAACAGATAATTCATATAGAGAATGCATGTTCAGTCCATTAATAGATTTTTTTTTGTAATTAAAAGTATGTTTGAATATGTTTTATTAAAAAATGTTTAAGCATAATTTTATTTACTTATTTATTTATTTATTTTTTTGCCTCAGTCAACCATTTTTTACTTCAAATGCCATTAAAGAGTATTAAAAGTTTCTTGAAATTGTTATTATATATTTGCCTAGTAAGCATTATTGAATTAATATCCATCTTTCATTGTTACCAAAATGTAGTTTTAATTTATGTATTTCATAACTTTTCTCTTATTATTTAATAATCTTATTTTCAGGGTTTATTTATTTACCTTTTTATTGACAAATAGTTAAATTATATGTATATTATATTATTTAATAGAAAAAAAAAGTTTTGATGCAATAGTTACTCAATTTTTTAAAACTTGGTATATTTTTCACACCTTTTAGATATAATTAGTGAAAAGTAGTCACTAAATATTTTATCCAGGATAACACTGCTTTTTTTATTTTTATTTTTTTCCTTTCTCGCCTTTTAGGCTATACAGGGGTTTTCCTGGACCATGGGGTGAGAGCAGGGGGTTAATGCCAAGTTAAAAGATCTTAGCACCGGGACGCGAACTCACAATTATTTTATCGTTTATAACTTTGGTTATCAAATTGCCGGGCACACACGCACACCCAAGATATCTGTGTGGGTAATGGCAGCACAAATTATTTTTATTTAACTTGCCTTAAATCTTTTCCTGTAATCACTTTAGTTATTTAATTCATTCCCCAGAAAGAAATTTATGAAGAAAACAATTTTATTTGCTCATTAAAAAATATACATGTTTGGGTTAATCATATAAGGTAATTAAATGTCCTACAAAAAAAAAGAAGAAAATTATTGGAAATCGGTTCAGTAACATCATCCAAAGATATGGTTTATTTAACTTTGTACACGTACTTTAAAAAGTATTCTGCATAGCCAGGTTAGGCTCAGATACCACTCCGATAACACATGAAGCTATATGTGAAATAAATCTAATTACTGCCAGAAAGAGAATCAGGATGATAAATTTATTGTGATGTGTTTAAGCGAAACAACCTTCCACATCGTTTGTCGGTGTGACAGGTTTGCTAGTCTTAAGACTCTAGACCCCAAAAGCTATGAATTTGTCTACCCTCTAAGCCTATTAAGGAAGCGACTATACTAACTTTTTAATAAAGCGACTTCCAACATGGCGCACAATAAACCTCTAAGATCATGGTGCATCTTGCCACAAAAAACAAAGTCTGCATATATGCTCATTTATAAGATAATTAAATTATTTACAAAGCAAAATATTTAAAGGGGGGGAAAAGAAAAGGAAATTAGCTTTGTAGACTTAGTCTTAAGTAGGCCAATAATAATTAGTGAAGATATTGAACAATTTTTATCGGACATTCTTCCAAAGAGATCAGAAAAGTCGTAACTGTTTGGAAATGATAAAACATTAATTTATTTGTTTTCTTTTTACTTTGGGTTACTAAGAATACGTCAATGGCCAAATTAAAAACACCACAGTAAGTTTTAGTTGAGATGATAACAATGGAAAAATAGAATAAAATATACAATTAAGTTCTGAATGTTGATACAGTAGTTTGTTGGAGTGTCCTGTTCCATTTTCTAAAAGAGTGGGAGCAATTGATCATCCCTTATTTGGGTTTTTGTCAAATATCTTTGTAACTATAAGCTTCAGGAAAAGATACCTGTGTAAAAAGTTAAACTACACATTTCATTCATCTTTCTTATTGAAAATGTGTAGTTAATTTTTACTTTCACTTACTTATGTATGTAATATATATGAAGGGTAAGTATTGCGATCGTGAAAAGTTTTGATTCTGAGTTTTCAACGGAAATACATGTTTTGGGGTACCCTGAACCTAAATAACCAAGTCCCGAAAAATGGTCTGTGTGTATTTGTGCTTGTGTGTTAGCAGTCTAGCTCAAAAACGAAGTCATACGGAACTGATATTAGGTATTTAAGATAGGTATATGCCTTAGATGTGGCAGCAGCTTTTTCCTTAAAATCGGCTTACCGGAAGTTCCACTTTATATCAACGCTGAAACACATTTTTACAATTTTCTCAAAAATGTCTCTAACGATTTTGATTAAACTCATATCATTGTATAATCAAATGGTCTTTAATATCAATCAGGTCTTATCCCCATTGATGTCACTTTACAGGACTAAATGCCCAATGTTCATATGCGTCTTCTTCTACAGAACCTTTAATATGGTTTATTTTAAAAAGTTCATCATCTAACGTTATTCAGAGTTATGAAAAAATGCTAAATATAAAGTTTGAAAGAATTTGATAATTGGATAAAGGAGAAAAAAAAAAAAAAAATGCTTATCCAAGTCTAAAATGACTCTCCGGAAATACTAGTCAGAAGGTATATATTATATTGTTGGAAAGCTGAGGATTTTAGAGAAAGCAATATCTAATATAGAAAGTTTAAGAGTGGCAAAACAATTATAAATAATAATTGTTGAAAACTAATAATATTTAACATAAATCACACGTTTTTAAGAAAATTAAATGAAATTTACTAACTAAATGTAAACTTTTAAAATATTTTATAAGTTTGAAAAAAGTATTTAAAATCCACCTAATCAAGGCAATGACATTGTTTGAAACACTTTTTCATTGTACTTGTGTGAAAGAAGAAGTAAAATCATTTCATGGATGTATAAAGCATATGTTCATAACCTTAAATACATTTACCTGTAGTTTAATAATTCTAGACCTGATATTATATTTAAATATTTATGTATTTATCATCCGTTTATTCCGAAAAATCATCTTGCAACTTTTTAAAATTAAATTAATGAATAGTTTGATGAAATTTTCTTTTGTGATATTCCAACAGTATCCACTTACAATTAGTGTGACAACCTGTCTATGAAAGACAATGAAAATCTCTTAATAATTAGTTTAATAACTGATAGTCGTACAATCCATAATCAACTGCTGATATAATAAATAGAACTTTTATTATTTTAATGTTATTTATAATTTGTTAGCTGTATTTTTTTAGCTTTAGCTCAGTTAAAAATTCAATTCAAAAATTTTATAATAGCCCAACATGGCCAGAAAATAATTTCTATTCAAAATTGTGGGTTGATGGTTGACGTGTCATGAATAATGAAGAGAAGGATGGTTGGAGTGATCACAGTCAGAAATAGAAAGGCAAAAATAAATAATAATATTTATTTTAACATTTGTCGACGTTTCGTCCTGAAGTTCAGGCCTTCATCAGGGGTTGTTCGAATAGAGTGATATTTTTAATGTTAAAATAAATATTATTATGTATTTTTACCTTTTTATTTCCGACTGATCACCCCACCTATCCTTTTCTTCAATTTCTATTCAAAGTTGAGTGGTAAGTGAAAGTTGTGTGTTGCCTGCACCAAATTTTTTTTTTTATATGAAGTACATTTGCTGAAGTGGATAGTTCGCGAAATATTTGAGAAAAACTCCAAAAAAAGAGACATCCAAACTGTTCCCCCATCGCTACTTAGAAAGTTATCTAACGACGAACTATTCAAAAATTCAAAGCTTCATAAATTGTTTTTTCTTATCAACGATACTTGGTATTTGTTGCCTGGGTTATTTAGGGTCTTATTCGGTTTTACTGCTGATGATTCAATGGAAGTATGTGTGTCATCTTCATCAATGGTTCCATCGACAGAAATGTTTATGCACATACTTCCAATGTAAAGAAGGTCCACATGGTTAGACAGAAACATTGGGATTAAAATAAATTAAACCAAAAATTGTTTTGTTTTGCTGTTGACCATTGATTAATCCCCAGCCACGCAGCATGTAATGAAATGACTGATGGCAATCTAATTCGATTCAATTTTTTGCAGTAATACTAAAACTTAAGTTGTCAAAATTCAAATATCACAAACTTGGATTGGAATAGTAATGATAATGCAAACACACAGAACTCTAGTAGACATTAGTGATAAAACCAGCTCAATGACAGTTGGAGCTATTTGTCCAATCTTTTTATTGCCAACATTATGTAGTTAAAGCATAACTTTAATTTTAAAGTCTTTGCATTGGCAAGGTTTAATTAATTCTCTTCCATTTCCGCCAATACTAGGACTTTTTTTGTTAATATTTTATAATTGTATGGTTTCAAGTCCTCTCCTGAGCTTTTATAAAGAAGAAATTGGGATTGCGGTTATCTTTTGAAGAAATTATAGAATTCAAGGGCATCTTTGAATCATTAATAAAAAATATTGATTCTGCCAGACATATCTGTCCAACTATTCTTATTATTTAACAACGATTACCTATATTTATTTCTGTTTATGTTCTACACCATTATGTTGTATGTTCTTCCTGTAAATTTGGTTAATATTCTTAAGCAATATAGTTCAGTTAATAAGTTATTTCGAATTTAGTATTTCTTGTATAGACAAAAATGAATGAATTTATGTTTATGTTACTGTTGTCTATTAAAAATATAGTTATGTACCAATGGTTTTTTATTTCAGAACCAGACCTTGATAGTTCTCTGTGTGAAGATGATGAGCTTTTCTTACGCTTTGAACCTCCAATATCAAGCTCAGATTACCTCTACGGTCTTGAACCTGATGAGGGTTTAGGAGATCTCTTTGGCTTAAATTCCTCATTTATTTGAGTCACAGTTAATAGTACAAATATAAGATGATTCATATGTTATTGTAAATAAAACAATGTATATATATAAAGTAATAACAATCCAAGTACATTTTTTAACTTTTATTATTTAATAATCTATTCTTAGATTGTTAAGTTTTACTATTATGGCCATTCTTATTTTTATTATTTTAATGTTGTTAAGGTTCTTATTTTATTATTTTTAAAGGCCATATTACATACCTTTTTTTTTTAATTATAATTTAAAAAGTGTTTGAATTAGATTTTAATTTATTAAGTATGGCTGATATCTTTCTATTATACGCATTTTGAAAGTAAAATACCAATCAGTGCCTATTTTTATGTAAATGTAAGTTAATTAAGATAGAAGTCTTAAATAGAATACAAAAGACTATGTAAATATGAAGTTTCTTATTGTTGTTTTTAGCGATATAGAGGCAGTTGTGTCAGTTTATAAAATTGCTATTATATATTGAAAATTATTTATTAGATCCAAGGATCATATCTCTCACCCAGTTAGTGTGTTTATTTGAAGGATTAAAAAAAAAGTGGAATCTTTATATTAAGTTACATTGTTTTAACTGCTTTACCTTCTCATCATTCTGAATTTTCCACTTTATTACTTAAAAATATTTTCATGGAATATTCTGTGGTGATTAGGTTTTGTTGATTTAATTCAATAAAAATGTTTCATTTATGGCATTAAATTAAAAATATAAAACAAAAAAAAAACTTCTATTTATTAGGGCTTCATTCCTGCAGTAAGCAGTTGATCTTTATTTACCATAATTGGTGCTGATTTCTTTCTTGCAGTGAAAAACTGAAAAGAAACAAAATAAATGTTTTACTTTGTTATGTTTCAAATTTTTATGATGCAGTTTTATTTCCAGGAATTTAAATGGACTGCAGGTGTATTTTTTTACCATCTCCCACAGTCTAACATGTAATCAGTAGTTATTTTTGGGGATTGTTTTAATTTTTCTTTGTTCTGTGATTATATGGTTTATTTTATTTATTTATTATTATTGGTATTTATTTATCTCTAATGTACTGCTTTAAGTATTAAACTGTAGAATAACCTACTGAAATTGTTTATTAACAAAGTTTTTTTTTTTTGCATGCAGATGCTAACAATCTATGTGAATTATCACTTCCATATTCTTTTTCTGGATAAATTATAAGAGTAATCAAAATAAAAAAATTCAAAAGTCTTTGTCCCATCAGACACTGTTTTTTATTTTTATTTCTTTTTCTCTTACCTTGTTTGAAACTAATTGAAATAATGTTTAAATGAGATGTGAGACCTTTTCACTTATAATAAATAAAATTCATGCCATGACTGGTAGTTTTAACATCAGAAATTAAAATACACCTGCCTCTTAAGAAATATATCTCATCCTCCCTGTTCTATGGTTAGTTTTATTGGCATTTCATTTTTCCTGTTCAAACAGAATGAAGTGCATAGTTATACACTAATTAGCTAAGCACTGTTTTACGGCGACCACATTGAAGCACTAATACTAACAAAATCGACTAAGTTTAAATGTTAAGTGTTATTCAATTGTCAACTTCCATTAATACTAGTCACATCAGTTTCTCTACTTACGAAACAGTTCTGTAGAGATGATTGCTATACTTATGTATAACCATTGCTCATTTTAGTTATGACACATTAAAGTCCTGACTTTAAAAACTTATTTATTGTTAATATTTACTTATTTTTATTAATGGAATGATTTTACCAATTTTTTTTTTTTTCCAAGTCATGTGTAACATTATATTCATCTTAAAATAAAACACTTGCAGGTTAAAAATCAAGAATTTTTATATATATAATGAAATCAAATTGTATAAATTATTAATATATATTGTACATCACAACAGTATATTTTAACTTTTTATATTATATGTAAATGAATATTTCAAATAAATATGTATGAAAATAACATATCTTTTGCAGTAATACACATAAAGCCTTAGTTTTTTATTTGAGATGGTAATACTTACCTTTTGAATAATGGGTAAACCTTTTTCGCATTGAAATTTTGGATTTTTTTATGACTAAACCTTGGGCTACAAATATAAAACTTTCAAAAATATAAATCAGGTTTCTTTTAAAGGGCATTAGATCTTTTGAATTTTCTATGTTAATCGAAATATCTTCATGTTCGAGTTTGGAATTTTATGTCTGTCAAAATGTAATATTATGTAATTTTCTCAAATAAAAATAACATTTAATATAAAACAAAAAAGAAATATGGAATGTTTAATAAAATCATTGAAAAAAAAGTGAAAAATTCCAATATTAGAATGATTTTCACAGATACACTCAGCTTTCCAGATTTTATCAATGGCTCTTGATGCTAACATTAAAGATTAAAGACTGAAGTGGATAATAAAGTAGTGAAATATAATAATTAAGGTAGCATAATTCAGAGAATTATAAAAATGCCAGAACAACGGATTTGTCCTTCGACTTGTTAATTGATAATAATGCTAATTTAAATATATATCAAAGCTACCATGCCTACAAGTTTAAATTAGTTTAGTTTTAAGAGGATTAATTAATTTTTAAATTGAAACATGTATAATTTTTATAAAAGTTAGTTTGTTCAAGTAATATTTCATACTACTCTAGGTATATGTACACTTAGGATGTTAAGACATCGTTTTGGCTTTCATTTTATAACTTTTTTACTTTTTCTTGAAAACAGCTCTTTGGTTAAACTCATATCAATGAAAAACCCAATTGTCTTTATTATCAACTATATATTAAAGACTTGATTTCAGCCATCTTATCAGTGTCAGATTTATGTACTTTTAGACCATTCATTTGCCTGAGGTGGTAAAATTTGAATGAAACTTTAATTATTAGTTTCAAATGAATCTTTAAATATTAAAAAAATAGCTCAATCAAGCGTATTTACATATAATAATTATCTCTACTTAAGTTTAACTGGAAACAATATTTTTGCAGATAATATGCTTATCACCTATGGGTGATATCAAGAAATCCTAAAACAAATCCACTTTTGGGTCTTAGCCTTATTAAAGTAGTCTGACAAACCTTAAAGGCATATATCTTCAAAATGGCTTTCCCTGAAATATCTTTAATTTTGTTTATTTTAAATAATTAACCATCTCTCATTTTTAGTAAGAAAAAAAAAGTATAAATTTGATCTATGAAAGAATTTTATAATAAACTTTTGAGGAGAAAAAGTTTCATATATTTATATATACAACCAAAGAGATCGGCTATGGAGCTACGGTTGGCCTGCCGCTGCACTATGGTAACCATGGTTCGTAGTAACGTGAGGTTGGGTGACCCTCTCCAGGCTATCCGAGCTACTGCAAGCAACATACGTCTGTAAGGAGACCACATCTCGCGGCCAAAGATCTTCATGGTCTAGTGGCAACAAAAAAAAATATATATATATTATTCTATGTTAAAAATAAGGTTCCAGGAATAAGAGTAGTAAAATAGATTTAATTGAAGCAATAGAAGTTAAAAAAAAAATTATATTTAATTTACAGGGTAGTGGAAAATGATGAATTGATGACTAACAATATTTGTTGTTAATGTCTACTTTTGTATAATTGAATGGAGTTCTCATATAAACTTTTAAAATCAATTTTCAGCTCAACTAAACAAAAATATATGGTGCATAAAAGTCATATTTTGTAGTAATACTATTTTCTACTGTGGATACTAGACTGCTAAGTGAGTTGTTTGATGCACCACAAATTATTTTAATTACTTCATGATTTTTTGAATTAGTGGTCAGACTTTTTTTGTGACAATACTAAAAATTTGAACTGTGAATGTTCCCATTTTTCTAAGAAATTTCTAGTTTTTTTCATATCAACTCATCCCAAGAAATGGTTTGTGTTTATAATAAAAGAAAATATAATGAGTTAAGTTTTGAACAAATATTAAAAATAAAATTAGGTTACTACCTTATATTTACAATGAAAAAAACGATTATCATTTTGTGTTGGAATTGTGTACTGAAATATAATATTCATTTAACAGTATATTAATGAGGACTGAGAAATTGAATTAGCCACACAGTTGCCAGAGTGAAGGTAAAGAGTTGATCACAAATCACTAGCAGATCCAGGATTTAATTTTGGTGGGGATTTTTTTTTTTCATATGTATAATGATAATTACTTTAGAAAAAAAGAAAGAAACTATCTATATGAAATAGTTTTTAAGTGATTCTTGAAGTCACATTAAATGTAATTACACAAAAAATGATACTTTAAGAGATAAATTTTTAATATTTTTTACCATAAAACATGGTTACATTTTACCATTTGGGAGATACTTTAGCCCAAATTCCCCCCCTGAGTAGAATTTGGCTCATTTTTGGACCAAGGGAGTTAACTACCACTCTGATTTTAACCATCATTTAACTTTCTGATATCTTAAAGTAATCTTCTATTCCCTTTTTAAATTAAATAAATACAATGTATTAAATCCCCATATTACATAAAAGTCTTCAAACTAGTATTACGAAAAATAAATGTGGAATTAATATTTATTAACTTAGGTAATCTAGATTTGTTGAAAGTCTATGTAGATTGTTTTCAAATTATATATTATACATTTGATTTTTCCTTTTATGCCTTAAAATTCTTTGCTATATCGTTTTTTGATGTTTCTGTTGGTCAGCGTGGAATTTCCATTTGCTAAGATTATAATGAGTGCTAACTGATGCAGTTCTATTAAATTATTTTTGCTAGTGCTTGCAATCTGAAACAAGCTATGAGGAGTGGGGATGTCCCATTGTTCTTAAATTACAGGATATTTATTTTCTTTCTAGCCAATCATTAAATTTTAAAATACAACTCTTGTTTATTTTCTTTACATAAATAAGGTAATTAAACATATTGATAAAACCCATTGATTTAGTATATTAATAAAAATGAGAACTAGTTTTGATAACTGGGTTGATGTCCTTTTTTGCTCTCTAACTTCATATGCTACAATATGGGTT